AGCCTGACACGGGGCTCAAACCCACACACTGTGAGATCATGACCTGAGTGGAAATCAAGAGTTGGACGCTTAACCAGTACACCACCCAGGCGCCCCCACCTTGAAATTTTTAATAATTTTTAAACAAGGGCTCTTGCCTTTTTATTTGGCACAGGGCCCTGCAAGTTCTGTAACCGGCCCTGCCCAGGAATGTCCTAAAAACGCAAAATCTCAGGCCCTTGCCTGCACCTTCTGAATCAGAATCATCCCCGGGTGATTCATACGCACGTGAGAGTCTGAGCAGAACTGCTTATGTCACCTTGGACTTATTTTCCTAGAAGTTAGTACAAAAAAGTGTTATTAAGAAGAGATAAAATATTCTGAAAAATACATACAGGACAATGAAAATCTGGCAACCTACAGGGGTTTTTGTTTTGTTTTGTTTTGTTTTGTAAGTAGCCTTAAACTTAATACCTTGGAAGATGCAATACTCTCAAGCTATTTCAGAAGACTCACACCAAACAGAGACCTTGGCACTGGTACTTGTCCCCCAATTCCTTGGAGTGCACAGCAGGGGACTTTCTTAGAGAGATGGGAAGCCATTGTTGGGTTCAAGATCGGTGGATGCCACAGGTGGGTTTACTGGGATTCTAATTCTCCTGGAGCCTTGGGAAAGCCATACGCCTCTCCATTACGGAAGTCACTGAGATCACCTATTTGGGCCTTGGTTCTCAATCATTTTGCTGTCCTAGCATGCCTGAGGGACATAGCTCTCCCGCCAGGCACCATGGGGCTCTAAGAAAGGGTGATGATTTCAAGTGGCTACTCAGGGATCTGGGAAGTTGGGGGGAAGAAGGGCCCTAACCTTTGCCATACCAGGGCTCTACCAGCTGAGAATCACTGATGGAAACATCTGTCCTCAGTATTTTCTGGGTTTGAGATCTTTGAGTGCGTGGTGGCATCTCTTGGCAGAAGGACATGTTAAGGCAACGCCCTGGCACCACGTGTGGCATAGCTGTGCCCTCCACTCCCTCTCGCCCACTCAGAAGGAGTCCCCGGCCCTCACCTCAAATGCCTCTACTCTGCTGTGTGACACAGAGTCTCTCGGACAGCTCACCCTAAACTCTGCCATCACCTGTCTGCAGAGCAATAATGCCCACTCAGAACGACAATGCCCACTCAGAATGAGTACCCTCTCCACCACCTGCGAATTTACTCCCCTTAGGGATTCCCAGATAAAATGATAAATATTCTTGTAATATAAAATAAAATTAAATAAAGAAAACAGGGGTGCCTGGGTGGCTCAGTCAGTTAAGTGTCTGACGTTAGCTCAGGTCATGATCTCACGGTTCACGAGTTTGAGTCCCGCATCGGGCTCTGTGCTGATGGCTCGGAGCCTGGAGCCTGCTTTGGATTCTGTGTCTCCCTTGCTCTCTGCCCCCACCCCACACACACGCGCACACACACACACAAAATCTCAAAAATAAATAAACATTAAAAGATTTTAAAAAACAAAGCAAAATAAAATAAAAAGACAAAGCAAAATAAAATAAAAAGACAATACCAAGGTTTGATGAGATTTTGGAACAATTAAAATTCTCTAGTACTGGTAATGGGCACATTTCCCAGTGAATTTTTAGAATCAGATTGCCAGTTAAAAAAAAAAAATACTGGCGTCTTAACTGAGATTACTTTAAATCTATAAACCAATTTTGAATAAATGACATTTTAACAATATTTAGGTTTCCTCTCCACGAACTCTCCATCTCTGTCCATTTGCTTTGATAATTTTTTCAGTGATATTTTATGGTTTTCAGTGTAGAGGGTTTGAACGTCCTTGGTTAGATTTCTTCCCAGGTATCTGATGTTTTTTTGACCCGGTTGGAAAAGCTGCCATTAAAACAAATGTATTTTTTCTAGTTACAGAGAAATACAACAGACTTGGGGCATTTTGAATCCAGCGACTTAGTTAATGAGATCAGTTCTTGCGCCTGATCTCCCATTCCAATCTCCCAATGGCTACAATTTCTTTAAATTCGCCTACCGCATTTGAAACTTTTGAGACGCATGTTAGCTGAGCTCCATCAGTGTGCGCATGTGTACGTATGTGTACGTGTGCGTGTGCGCGTGTACACAGCTGTGCTATATGTGCATGTCCCACCTACTCCTTCGTATCGGGCGCTCTTTGGTCTCCTTCAGCCATTGTGTGTCTCTGCACAAGTCTTCCGGTGGTTCTGCTTTCCATCCTGGCCTTGCTCGGCTGCCTCACGTGGAGCTACCATTCTCTGTGGGTGGCACTGCCAAGCCTCCGTAGTGACAGGAGTGTCACACAAGGTGAAGGGAAAAGGAGTCTCTGGCCCTGTGGACCTAAGTGACATGGGCCATCAGGGCCCTGGGAGCCCGAGGGGGACCCTCTCTGTCCTCCATATAATTCTGTCTCAAGCACAGGGAGCCCTCAATCCATCGGTCTGCTCTTCTTGGCCTTCTGGGGTCATGGGGACTCCAGACTATTTTTACTCAGAACTCTGACAACACATGTGGAGGTTTTTTCCATACCAACAATTTCCCCGAATCTCTAGACACCAAATGAGTGCCCTAACACTGAATTCAAGTCTGACACTGACTACCCGAAGTCTGTGTCAGATTCTACAGATTTAAGGGCTCCGTCCCAAGACTGCCCCACTTCAGACACCAGTCAAAAATCCTAGACCACTACACTTCTGGCCAGTCAGCTGTGCATCAGGGGTTCCCACAGCCCTGTCCTCAGGTTGGATGCTTTGCTAGAACCGCTCACCATCTCAGGGAAACACTTCTGCTTACCACGTTTATTATAAAGGCTAAAACTCAGGAATAGCCAGGTGGAGGAGACACACAGAGCAAGGTGCGGGGGCTGGCGGCCCCCTCTGCACACGTCACCACCCCAGAACTCTGTGTGTATGTGTGTGCGCCAATCCAGAAGTTCACCCAATCTCTCACGTCAAGAGTTTTCGCAGGGCTTAATCTCCAGCTCCTACTGCTCTTCATGGCGGCTGCAAGGTGGGACTGGGGGTTCCAGCTCTCTAACCACTTTTTCTAGTGACCGGCCCCATCCTGGGTCTTTTCAGGACCCAAAACATCCTTTGGCTATCTAGCAACTGCATTCCGAGTCACCTTTGTAAGCATAAACCAAGGTGTGATCACAAGGAGCCAAAGACGTGTCTATCACTCAGGAAAGTCCAGGATTTTAGGAGCTCTGTGCCAGGGACTGAGACAAAGACCAAATATATTCCTGACACCACAGAGCCTCGGCCCAAGCATGTGGCCACTTTTTTTCTCCTTCCGGAGAGACTACGGACCCCTCGATTTCTTCTCAAACTGTCCCCTTCTGGTCCTTGCTCTGGGCTCTGTGTCCAAGTCCCAGTAGATGACTCTGGCTTTGTCATCTCAATCCCAGCAAAACCCTTTCACATCTGGACCCCTGCAGGGCCCGGCAACACCTGCTCAGTAGGCAAGTGTCTCGGAAGTGAGTGTGGAAGAGAAGGAGGCCACGTTCAGCTGTGAGATTCCCAACCTGCGTGGCCTCTGGTGGGGAACTGGCCTGTGGCTTATCTGGGGGGGGTGGGCAGGGTGCACTGTCAGAAGCATGGCAGGTATACAAGCTTTGTTATTCATCTAATAGTTTTCTCTCCCTCCATTTCATGGAAGTAAGCGGGCTCTGCGCGGCCTCTCCTCAGGGAAGGTTTGGTGGTAAATCTGTTTAATGTCAGTGGCTCTGTTTCTTTTGGAACTACCTGAGGAGATCATCTCAGAGGCTTCAAGAAGGAAAAGGAAAAGGGTTAATAGGTCCAAGACTAGCGAGCCCTCGGTCCCTGGGGAAGTGGCAATATTCAGGAAGGACGCTTGTGTAGGCGCCATGTTGCCCAGCCAACCCCCTGGACACCGGAGTGGCCAATGATGATGAGTTTTGGGCTTTCAGGCAAAGCGTGGCTGGCTAGGTGCAGATTTGGAAACACCAAGCACTCAGCACTCGTAACACATAAATTGAAAGACAAAGGGATCTCCCAGGTCCTCGGGTTTGGCCAAAAACATCAGACGCTCAGTCCTGGGCTGGAGAATATGTGGGTGTGGTGAAGAGAGAGCTAACGGTGGTCAAGGCTGGGTTTCCCACTAGCTTGGCAGGATGGAGACTGTTACGGGTTGAACTGTGTCCCCCTCAAAAAAGATATTTTGAAGTACCCCTAGTACTTCAGAATGTGACCTTATTTGGAAATAGGGTCTTTACAAAGTTAAGTTTTAAAAAAGTTAAGTGGCATGCCTGGGTGGCTCAGTCAGTTTAGTGCCCGACCTCTGCTCAGGTCATGATCTCATGGTTCGTGGGTTCAAGCCCCATGTCAGGCTTTTCACTGGCAGCATGGAGCCTGCTTCAGATTCTCTGTCTCCCTCTCTCTCTGTCTCTCTCTCTCAAGAATAAACATTAAAAAAATTGTTTAAAAAAGTTAAGTTACAGAGGCACTTGGGTGTCTAAGTTGGTTGAGTATCCACTTCTTGATTTCAACTCAGGTCATGATCCCAAGGTTGTGGGATCGAGCCCTGTGTCAGGCTCCACAATGAGCATGGAGCCTGCTTCTCTCTCTCTCTCTCTCTCTCTCTCTCTCACTTTGTCCCTCTGTCCCTCCATCCCTTCCTCCCCCTCTGTGCCTCTCCCCAGCTAATGTGTTCTCTCTCAGAACAAAAATTAAGTTAGAGGTTAAAATGAGATCACTAGGATGGTCCCTAAGCCAATATGACTGCGTCCTTATAAGACAGGAAATTTGGACATGGAAACAGGCACACAGGGAGAACACTACAAACTCCAGAACTGTGAGACAGTCCTATTGTATAAGCCACTTAGCCTGTGATACTCCATATGTCAGACCTAGGAAACTAACAGAGATTCAGAATTGGATTTGGGTAAAATCAAAAACATAGTATTTCTTACACACCGGTGAGTTTACGAACTGAGGTTCCCCTCACTAGTGACAGGAGAGCTAATTTCCTGAAAGTCAATGTGGTTTTATGGAAAAAGTTCCTAAAATTGTACAGTTTTCTTCAGCTGTCCATTCAAGATTATAAGGAGAGGAGGCTCTCTCTTTCTAGAAATCCTTCCCCCCTCCTATAATCCTTACAAGACCGTGGTGAGGTAAATTCCATGTTACTGACAAGGAGTCTGGCATCCAGACAGGGTCAGGGCCAAGAACACGACTTTTGATTCTTGGCCCCAGGGCCATCCCATCATTCTTCCTGAAAGAGAACTTAAAGGAAGTTCTTTCCTCTGTGGTCAAATCCTCCAGGTTAGAATTCCTCTCTATTATGATCCAGTCAGATTATGATCAGGTTATGATCAGATTATGATCCAGTCTCCTGGCAAAAAAAACAAAAAACAGAGGCAAAAATAAAGTTCCCACAGCTACACTGAACAAAGAAGCCACTGTCACGACGGCAGAATGAGAGAAGCTTTCCTCGGCCCCTGCATGTGAAGATGACCAGGGAGCGTTGGGAGGTAGTTTGCTCAATGAGCCAGTCAGATTCTGTGTTTGGTAAGGGAGCTGATGCAGGCTCAGGGGCATAAAGACATGGTTTGTGTGGTCTGTACTTCACCAGAAATAACTAGGCTTGCGTTGAGAACCCAATTCTCTTGGGCTCCACCATACTAGTGTTATGTTGAGGGACACAGGCAGGAGGAACTGGGTGCCAGGAGCTGAGGTACATGAGGAAGGTGCTGTTCTCGGTCTGGACAGAAGTCCAGGCGGGGAAGTGGATAACCCCACCACGTGAAGGCAGGCTTAGGTCTGACTTCGGAGGTTCTAGAATACATCTGGGGAGGGACATTTCAAGTTGGTTCAAATGTAGATGTCAAATAAGGGGTCCCAGAGTGGCAAACAACTGTCCCAGAAAGTATTAACACCGAAGATGGATGGCCACGGATGGAGCCTGTTGGAGAGTGAGACAGAATCACTTCCTAAATTCTAGATTCTCGATGCCCCTGACTGCATCTATATTTTCTAGTAAAATTATATTTCATTCATTTAATTTTTAACATAGGGAACTTTGAGGTTGTGGCTAGTTTACGAAAATCTTTTTTTTCATAAGCAGTAACAAAAACAGTAAGAATAGAAGCCACCAGGGAAATTGGAAAGAATCATGAAGGTTCCCACAATTTATCATGAGGCCACTAGGGGGCAGAGGAAGATAGCTATTTGGAGCCACTAAAAAACACTGCAATCCCAATCCTTTTTTCCCCACCACAAAATGCTGAAAAGAATGTAGAAAAGAAAAAGTATAGTACAAACAAAAACTGAATTTGTTATTATTAAGAATTTCTAGTATTCTGAGGTAGCTATTTCATATATAGAATTGCCGACTGTACTGTTAGCTGCAACTCAACCAGTCAAAAGTCACCCATACCTACGATTCAGCGCCATGCTTCTGACTTTGCCATGAGAACACACAAGCTGATGTGTGTCATGGTCAGTGCTCTCAAAGAGAACTCAGTGAAGCTTGGAAAAGGAAGAACACACGGTGGGCATTTAGGGTTGATACAGCTGTTTTCTTGGCTGCTGCCGTTTGATTTTGAGAGATTCTAAGTCCAGCATCTGCCCCAGGTAATCAGCCTCAGGTACAGCCTTGTTCTAGTATCAGAAAGGTTTGAAATTGTTACTACATGATGGATCTTTTCCACTGCAACCATTCCTCACTCACAAAGCACAAAGGAAGCAGATAATAATGAGTGGGGAACCAGTTGCCAGGCACAGTGGAAAACCACTGTGAGGTACCGATGTTAGTGCTTCACAGCTTGTTAGGACCCCCTAGTTAATCATCTTGGGCCGGGAATTAAGAACTTGATGAGGTGATCTTCTGGATTGAATTAAAGCATCTCCCCAAATCCCATAAGGTCTGTTGGGATAAATCTATAATCTATCACAGAGGGTCTATGATCTCCCCAAATTCCATGAGGTCAGGACAAAAGGACAAAAGGTCAGGACATAACATTCCATTCAAAGAAGCTGAGACTCTGAAGGCTTAGTTCTCCAGGTTCATTCATTCAGCAAACGTTTATGAGTTCAGTGCTAGACCTGATGAGTGCTTGAGGGGCTTCTAGAGTAACTGAGAAACAGCACATGGTCTATGAGTGCTGTTTGAGATGCCATGGAGATGTGTACAAGGAGCTATGTAAGCAGAGAGGAGAGGCTCCAAGGCTCAGCTGAGAGAAAGGGACCCAAGGAGGCTACGTAGAGGTGGTGATGTTTTTAGCTGATTTGACTATCCCTCAGCCACTTGGGCAATAGCAAAAATAAAACCACCATGGAGGGACACTTGGGTGTTCCAAAGTGCACAGGATTCCCACAGAGAACAAGACAGAATAAAACAACATCTTCCCTGCGGAGGCAACTTACAATAAAAATAAAAAATCACAAAGCACTAAAGGACACAGTCACCATGAGTAAAAGTAAATGTCCACACTAAAAATAGTTTTCACATAACACAATGTTCAGATAGAGTGCATAAAGTAATATGTTTAAAATAAAAACCACAGAAGAGAGACTGCATAATGAGGATAAGTCTAGCTAAACTGTGCAAGAGCAAGGACAAAATAGAGACATCTTTACTCCATAAAAATGGAAGGCTCGCCCCTAGCAGGTCCTCCCTGAATGAAACACTGAAGAATATACTTTGGAGGAAAAAAAAAATAATAAGCTGAATGTAAACAAAATGAGAAGGATGCGGAAAGGCCTTCTGCTTTTCCACTCATTCTTCCCGAATCCACTTCCTCTGCCGCCTCTGGGCCTCCTTACTCACAGGTGGGAGGCTGGTGAGGATGCTCTGAGTGCCTCTGGCTGAGCCCCTCTACCAGCTCACCCCTTCTGGGACAGGAGGCGACAGCCAGGGGATCCCCAAAGGGCATTGGAGGGCCCCAAACTGTATGCTAGAGCTCAGGCCTATAGAAGGGGCCACACTTTCTGGTTTTGTGAGGGAATCTCCCAGATGTTCCGTATGAGTTCTTCCATCCCCTGCAACAGCCTCCCGCTGGTGGGGGTGGCCCTTCTTGGGGTTGGGGGGGGGGTCCTCTCAGAATCTGACTCTAAGACTGAGATTGCAGACGGAGTAGTTTATTTGGAAGGTGATCCCAGGAGATGCTGGCAGCGACGCGGGGACGTGAGACACAGAAGAGGAGGCTGCCAGGGCGGCATGCGGGATCAAAACAGCTACCACTGGGGGCGACTGAAGCTTAAATCTGCTCAGAAAACTCTGGAAGTTGGCGAGGAACAGGCACCTCGGAGCAACCCCGCCTGAGCGGCAAGGGAGCCGGGGTATTTATACACCCAGCCCTGTTCACCACCGTTGGGAGTCTGCTCCCGGGGCATCGACGTCCCAGCACTCTGGCCTGTTGCACAGGTGGGAAAGGGGCGCTCCGGGTCAAGACAAAGTCCCCAGGACACAAAATGAGGTGTTGGCAGTAGGAATCCTAGCCCGTTAGCGCTGAAGGGAAAACACAAACGTGGGCGGGGTTCAGGGGCACCTGCTGTAGCAATTTAAGTCCATGCCTTTAGGAGAATGCACTTTTTTGGTTTTTGTTTTGTTTTGTTTTGTTTTGTTTTACAGGCAGAAATGAAAGACCCCAACAAACTCAGGGCCATGACTCGCTGTCGTCCTCAGAGGTAAAAGGTGTTTGAGAACTTTCCACTGCTCGCTGGCATTTCCTGAGCTGTTTTGTGAACACGAGCAGGGGTGGCAGGCAGCCTGGAGCTTTCACTAGCATTAAAGTGACAGAAGCTAAAAACACCCAAGTGTGCGATCCGTCCACCGGCCTTGCTAATGGCCTGGCAGGTGGTCCAGCAGGTAGACACGTGCTCAGGAAACCGTGCAGGTGCAGCTGTGATGCACACAGCAGGTGAGGAATTCGAAAGAAGCAGGGAATTCAAGATATTAACCTTCCGGCTGATTTAAAGCACAGAAAAAAAAAAAAAAAGGGACACATTTCATATTACCAATATTTGCCCAGATCTGAGTAATATAAAAAGAACTAGAGGAACAGAATTAGAAACCCACCTTTTGGCACTGCTGAAATAAAGTAGAATAGAAAGCTCTCAGGAGTGACAGGAAGAATACTGGGGCAGATGGGCTTACACACTGCAATTTAGCCCTGGCAGTAACCATGGTGGGGAGACCTGTTCCACCCCACTGAGTGACTTTAATGACCCTGCTCTTTCTCTTCTTTTGTTCATTTCTGTGGTTTACAATTTTATTTTAAATGCCAGCTATTTTATAAGGTCTCTAATAGCTTGGACATTCATTATTTGCAAGGGGCGGGGGTTTAGTTAGTTATCTCACCTATAAAATAAAGATGCTAACTCTTGTGCCTCCTCATTTCAGCCTCTTAACTTTCTCTGCCATTCTATGGACGTGATGAGGAAGGACTGTAGTTGAGAGCCTCACATCTGTCTTGGCGGCTGTTAATGAGACTGGCATAAAAAACTGAGATATTTCCATCCTTTCTAGAAGAGAAGAAAATTATGTCAGCAACATCTCTGTCCCTCAATGGAAGCAGCCCACAGTACTTGAGTGTTTGTTAGACTTTAAATCAACTGCAGCTTTACCCATCCATTCCATCCATCAGTCCATCTTTCCAGCCCTCCACCCGTTATTCCATCACACCTGCTGGCCAGTCAGCCCTCTTTTCTTCCATCCCAACCAGCCTTCCATTCATCTATCCAACCAACCCAAAGAGCCTCTCTTCCTTCTTTCTTTATTCCTTTCCTCCCCTCCTCCCTTTTCCTTCCTTCCTTCCTTGCTTCCTTCCTTCCTTCCTTCTTTCCCTCTTTCAATTAATGCATCTCAGTCACCCATCCATCTATCCATCCAACCATTTATCACAATCATCCAAGACCTACTGAGTATCGCTGGGATAACTAAGCACTGAAATACAGAGGTAAAACTAATTTTACCCTCAGTAAGTATATCCTTTAATAACAGTTTTAAACAACCCATAAATGAGGATAATCTGTTTTTCTTTTTCTTTTAATGGGAATCATTCTCTCTAGAAATATGTGTGAATCTTCCCACATTCAGTGGTAAGCATACTCACAGAAAAGTGGAAAGAGAATTCTTGAGGCTTTTATTGCAATTCAGTATCGGGCCCTCCAGCAAGTGTCTTTCCAGGAATGCTTTCTCTTGTTGGTTAGCCCCTCTTTTTGTGGACTTTTATTGGGTATTGGAGATGACCCTGTCCACTTTTCTGGTGGAGGAGGAATTGAGTCCAAGCCTTCCAGATGTTAAGGAGGATTCTGGGAATGTGCGTGGCAGGCAGAATAAGTATTTCTGGGTCATGTGTTAGTCAAAGTGGTCCAGCTTTGCTTTATTGGCTTGATAGCTCCCAGAAAATCTCATGACCTCCTCCGTCTCTGTTTCTCCATAGAGAGTTATCACGGCTCTGCCGGGTTTTGCACACATTGTGTACAAACAGTCAGTAAAAAGAGCTTTCAAAACCACCAGTCTATTAGACAGAAGTATTTCTTTTTAAGAGTGTTTATTATTTGTTAATTACATAAATAATAAAGGTTGACAGTAGAAAAATCAGGAGATCCAACTGAGGAAAAAAAAACTAAAACAAACAATCATAAAATCATTTTAGTCTGACCACTTAATTTCCCTGAGATGCTTTTGTTGACTGGGAAACATACGGATGATGAGTGTTCAAGATGAAAAACCAGGTGCTGTACCAGGATATATGCTACTGATCCTGTTACTAAAAACTATATTTTCATATATACATAGAGCTGGAAGATTATTTTTAATTAACTTTACTTATAATGTTAATACATAATATCAGAAAAGTCAGATGAATAAAAGACAAAAATGGATCTTGACCTACTATCTAGCTATGATCACTGATGATATTTTGGTGTATTATCCTTACAGAATTTACTTATTTTTATATTTCTATATTTTACAAATATCGTACCAGACCTTATATACAAATATGTTACTTGCTTTCCCATTCTATATAAATGGCCAACTTTCCATGCCAGTACATATACTTCACGATATTTGAATTAACTTTGAGTATTCTGTCCTATGGATGTATCACTTACTTTTAACACGTTCATCTTCCAAAAGTTTGGAATTTTTCCCTTTAAACAGTGTGTGATCAAGAGCCTCCCTAGCAGTTAAATCTCTGTGCCCATACATATTGCCGAATTGCATCTCAGAAAGATTGGACGATTTATTCTTGTTGTAGTATAGGAGAATCCTCCCTATAAGAATATATATATTCTCCTAATAAGAATATATTTATTTAAGTGTACACTGCTAACACCTTCATCCTTTCAACAATAAATATACAGAAAGAGGAGTTTGGAAAGTCTGGAAGGAGTGGTCAGGAGAGTGGATAACTCCAAGCCTTATCCCCATCAGTCTAGGTGCTCCACAGGTAACCTTGTGAAGGCAAAACCAAGGAAATACAAATAATAAATTCTTATCTTCCACCCCTTTAGACAAAAAGGTAGTAGATTAAATACATTGTCCTGAACCTTGCATATTTTTCTTAATGAAATATGGAAGAGTTCTTTCCATGTCAATACTGAGAGCAAATCTCTTTTTTTCACAGCATAGAGTTCATCCCAGGGAGGCGGTAAATGTGGTAAGAGCCATCTGTCCCTTCCATTGTTTTCTAACACAAACAATGTTGCCATGAACAATCTCAGTGCAATGTATGTTCCCTATGCACACGTGCAGCTATAGGATAGAGTCTCGGAAGTGGAATCATATATTTGTAATTGTTGACTGAGGGGCCACACCCCCTTCCCTAATGCGGAGTCACATCCCCACTAGCAATGTTCCAAGGCGCCTGTCCTTCCACAGACTAGCCCACGGAGTGTGGTATTAAACATGAGGATTTTTGCCAATTCAGCCGTTGAAAATGGTATTTCAGGGTTGCTTTCTGTGAATGTGGCCCATATTTGCTAATTCTCCTCTCCTTTTCCTACTTTCCTTCCTCCCTTCGTTCCTCTCTCCCTCTTCCCCTCCCTCCCTTCTTTCTTTCCATTTCTAGCAGCTCCTTATGTATTAGGAAGAGTAGGCCTTTTTTGGGTCATATGAATTACAAAACTATTCATGTTTCATTTTCTAAAATTTAGCATATGGTTGTTTTTTCCTTTCTGTGCACAAGGTTTTAAAAATATAGAACATATTAGTCTCGGGGCAGCTGGGTGATCTAGTGAGTTAAGTGTCTGACTTCGGCTCAGGTCATGATCTCATGGGGGGTGAGTCGGAGTCCTGCATCGGCTCTGTGCTGACTGCTCGGAGCCTGGAGCCTGCTTAAGATTCTGCGTCTCCTTCCCTCTCTGCCCCTCCCCTGCTTTGCTCTGCCTGCCTGTCTGTCTCAAAAGTAAATAAACATTAAAAAAATTTTTTTAAAAAAATATAGAACATATTACTTTCACTGTGCCCCTGGATTTTGAGTCTTGGTTCAAAAAATGTGAAACTGGGATGTTCTTCCGCGAGAGTACATCGTACTTTCTAGGAGCCTCTAGGAGCCCATTTGCTGGCTGAGACCCACAGCCTGCCCCAAATCACACACAGGGGCTGCATCTCCTTGGGTTATCAGAGGTGGCTGCCTTTTTCCTTCCTTTTTGTTAAGCCTCATTTCATGGGAACAGGAGCGCTGTAAGTATCTCACAAATCCATTTAGAGGGAGCAGAGGGAACAGAATCGGGTCTGGGCTTATGTCAGGGGAAACCTAACACCATCAGGCCTCCGCAATCCTCCCCGCCCCCAGCGGGCTGGCGTGACTTGGGCTGCAGTACGCAGACCGCCCACCGGGGGCAGCACTGCTGAAGGAAAGCAGACACGCTGAGATTACGAGCACACTTCAAGTGATTTTAGGCTGCGCTGATCACAGCCCGGTAATTTATAAACCACGTCCTACAGAGATGCAGAGATCATCCCACACCGCCGAGTAAGTAATGATGTGCGTGGGCAACACTTCCTGTGGGTCTTTGACTTTCTTCCTGGCTCTGATGCAGCATTCTAGGAGAGAGTCCTGGGGGGTTAAGGATCCTGCAAAAGGATTCTAAGAGTTCGAGAAGCTCGAACGCTGGCCTAGCCATAGACCCTAAGCTCCCTCAGCCGGGTAGTGTGCTACCGGTGAACACACCCAACTCTGAAAGCACTTAGCTCCAAGCACCTCACATGTGACTTCACTTTATTTCCACAACCACCCCCTGGTCTTACTGCTTCTTACAAGTGGGGAAACAAGGGGCAGAGAGTTTAAGAAACTTACCCCGGGGGCGCCTGGGTGGCTCAGTCGGTTGCACGTCCGACTTCAGCTCAGGTCATGATCTCACGGTTCGTGGGTTCGAGCCCCGCGTCGGGCTCTGTGCTGACTGCCAGCTCAGAGCCTGGAGCCTGTTTCAGATTCTGTATCTCCCTCTCTCTCTGACCCTCCCCTGCTCATGCTGTCTCTATCTCTCTCTCTCTCAAAAAAAAAAAAAGAAAGAAAAAGAAAAAGAAAGAAAGAAACTTGCCCCAGAATAGCCCCCAGTGAGCAGCGGAGCTGAGATCTGAAGCGGGTGCAGCCTGGCTCGGGGGACACGAGCAGGTAGGGTGGCCTTAGTTAATTACGTCTCGAAACCGAAGAAGAGAAAGTACGATTTTAAGGGAAGATGGGAAGGGCAGTCGCAAAGAAACACAGGTGCAAGCAACAGGTGAGGAAGGCCCCTGCCCCGTTTGGGGGGGTGGGGGATGGTGGCGGGTACTGCTGCTACTGTCAATCCTCGGCCACTGTGAGCAGCTGGCTTTCTGCTGGGAGAGCAAGCGGGGTGGGAAAGGGACCCCCAGAAGCCAGGCTCAGCGCTGGGCTCCCCTAGCTCTGCGACCTGGGGCAAAGAACCTTCTTTTTCTTCCTTTCTTTTTATTGTGGTAAAATATACCTAACATAACATTTACTATTTTCGTGTGTTGTAAGGTGCACAAGTTAGCAGCAGTAAGAGCATTCACGACGTTGTGTAACCACCGCTATGGTCCATTTCCAGAACTTTTCATCATCCCAAATAGAAACTCGGTACCTGGTAAACAGTGACTCCTCCTCTCCCCCCCCCCCCCGGCCCCTAGGAACACCCGTTCCACTTTCTATGGCTACGATCAGACTGCCCTATGTCCCTCATGGGAGCGGAATCATGCGGTTACTTGCTGGCTTGTGTCTGGCTTGTGTCGTTGAGCATCATGTTTGCAAGGCTCCTCCACGCTGAGCACGGATCAGGGGGTCCCTCCTTACTGAAGTTCAAGAACACTGTGCACTTACCACACTTTGCTCACTCAGCCCTATGTGGATGGACCGTTCCCACCTCTGGGCCAGTGTGGACAGTGCCGCCATGGACGTCATCCTACAATGATCAGCCCGAGACCCTGTTTTCCGTGTCTTGGCGTCTACACCTCACAGTGGAATTGCCGGGCCATATGGCAAGTCTATGTTTAACATTTTGAGGAGCTGCCAAACTCACTTTAGTTTTAAACAGGAGAGGGTTTTTTTTTTTTTCCTTCCCTCAGGATCCTGGGCATAAATAGGTTTCCTAATTATTTCCCAGGGCCCACAGGCAGATTTTTCCAGCCCCTTCTCCAGGAAGCAGGAGCCCTTCCAATGTCTCGTTGGTGCAGGGCTCAGCTTCACCTTCCACCTCACAGGGCCAGTGAGTGGAATGTAAGCACCTGCGCACGGGCCCTTTCATCTCCTTACCTTCACTTTGCAATGGCCTCTGACCCAACGGACCCCTCTTCTTTCTAGAGTCACTCTGCACATCTGTTTATAGTTGCTCCCTCTCTGCAATATAAGTTCTGTGGAGCAGGGGCATTTTTTTCTCTCTTATTTTCTGTTCTATCCTCAAAGCATAAGGTGGTACCTGGCACATAGTAGGTACTCAAGAAATACTTGGCATCAAAGAGAAAGTGCTGTGTGCTTCTATAGCCTTTCTACTTGTGGCATCATTTAATCCTTGTAACACTCTACGAAGGCACACTTATCCCTGGGCCAAAAAACAAGACCGGAGAGTTTAAATAACTTCCCTAAGGTTAGCATGGCTGGTGAAATTCAGATTCGACCTGTAACCCAAGGGATAATGGTGCAAGTATGCGCCAGCGTCCTGAGGAAGCTAGTTCTCCTCAAACCACCCACACGCTAGTCTTGATGCCCTGAGGATGCTGCCCCGCCAGTGGGCACACTCTTGCCCCTTCCTGAGTCTGACTTGATGACCTGTGGCGTAACTGTCCTCCAGACCCCTCAGCGAGGACCCTTTTAATGCCCCACACAAAGCAGAGGCTGGGCAGCGACAGTTAACAGAACTTCCTGACAGTGGAGATCATGAAAGCACCAACTGGAAAATAAATTACCAACATCCGCAGGCTCAGACCTGCGCCCCAGGGCTCCGTGTCGTCCTGCCCGGCCT